TGCACAAAAAAACAAAACAAAAAAAACATGGTTACAAGAGAGGAACCAGCAACACCAAAGCAAAAATCACCCACCATCAATTAGTGATTATATTCCATTCCACTTTTGCAATTTGAGCTAAAGAAACTAATTGTTTTCCAGGCTTTGTAGATTTGAAATACGTTATTGAAATGCACCTTGATGGACATTCACATTTAAAGTTCACTCATCTTTTTAAATGCATGTTATTGATTTAATTGTAAATGATTCATCCATGCATTTTAATTTTTTAAAAATTTGTTTTGAACTTGTAGTATAATCAAAATGTCATACCTTGACATAACAACATACTTCTCTCTGGTGACATAAGCCAGACTTCATTTAATCCGCTTAAACCCTGTCCCTTTCTTGCAATCGACTGCAAGCTCGTATTCAGATCTGCCTCCATCCAATCAACAACCCCTAGATAAAACCAAGTCCCCACCCAACAATTATTAATGTTTTTTTTTTCTCTTGATCATTTGTGTCACTGATGTATGTCACAATATGGAAGAAAAGATCTGTTGCTACTTCTGTTTTATCTCAACTTCAAGTAAATAGCAGCTGTATTTTTATGTATGTCTATTGGTTACATAAAAAGTAGCTGCCTGCGGTGCGGTCATTACCAAAATGGCCATCAGGTGAACTGTCTTGTCTTACAGGGATTTTAAAACACCCAAACTAGTCAATCAAAGTTTTGGGGTTCAGTTAAATTACAAAGAGGTTCATTAGAGCAGGGTTGGAACTGAATTTTGCCAGAAGGCTCCTGGTCTAGTGAATTTTTTAAACATTTAAGTACAGCACCAAAAACATCAAAATAATGTTTAAAGTGTCAAGGCATTACACTATAGAGCAAAAAAAGTAAAAAAAAAAAAAAAGTTTACATTCTTGCAGGGGTGTGTGTGATAAAGCAGACAGAAAGGAAAAAATTATAAACATGATATATTGGGGAAAAAAAGGACCAGGGAAACACATCAAAGATGCCAGCTGCTCAATCCAGCACTTTCTGAAAAATTGTTGATTGTACGCAAAAATCGAGATGAAGCGGTATGAAAATTTCTTATCACGATTATAGGGACCAAAATTATCATGTTTATCAGTATTATCACGGTGTTGTTAAAATGTGCTAGAAATGTTCAAAAGTAGTGACACATAAATAGTTTCACCAAGTTTTATATTTAAAATCAACAAACAACAAATAAAATGACTTTTTGTTTGCATAAACACTAAAACAATAACATTACCAATGATGTCTGAATTTTAAATGACAACATGACTGACAACAGTTTATCTCATAACATGTACATGTAAAATGTTCAAATAAAGCTTTGAAAAAGTTTAATAAAATGGTAAACCTCACATTTCAGCCTTTAAATAAAGAAAAATGATAAGTTAAAACGATAATTGATTAATAAATGATTGATTCCGTTTTACCAAGTTTTATATTTAAAATCAACAAACAACAAATAAAATGACTTTTTGTTTGCATAAACACTAAAACAATAACATTACCAATGATGTCTGAATTTTAAATGACAACATGACTGACAACAGTTTATCTCATAACATGTACATGTAAAATGTTCAAATAAAGCTTTGAAAAAGTTTAATAAAATGGTAAACCTCACATTTCAGCCTTTAAATAAAGAAAAATGATAAGTTAAAACGATAATTGATTAATAAATGATTATGTATTTTATCTTCTCCATAAATAATTCTACTTTATCTGAATTGTTTAAATGTGTAGAATCCACATAAGCCTGTTTTTCATCAACTGTTTTTTGGCCAGACAAAAGCTGCACACAGGCTGAATGTAAATGTAACTCTCTGTAAATCCACTCTCTGACACTAAGTGGCGCTTATGGAACAGCAGAATTCGAGCTGTTTTCCCGTAACCTCTGTGGAGAAAGCATTGCGATAAGAACACTTCTTTATTAGGTATTACATGGAGCGAGGATGAAACCAAAATACCATTGAATCTTTTCTGAGAGACTGTTACTTTGCTTTATGCTTTTGCTTTATCAAGTTGTTCAAATTGCTGTGATCGAATACGGTTTTAATTAGGGCTGCACGATAAATCGCATGAGATACGTCTCCACATTACAGGTCTGCAAATACTAGCAATTCATTTTAGTGGATGTAATAATTTTTTTTTATCACAATACTGTCAACGAGTAAGACGGTCCCAAAAATGTGAACACTGGGGTAGGGCTGCACGATAAATCGCATGCGATATTTAATGTGCATCTTGTTAGTAAAGCCGGTTCTGTAATCAGCGGTAAATCTCCATCACGTGCGTGCTTTCACATGGAGCAACATTTACTACACAGAGCCGTTGTTCACTGACAAGCTGCGCTAAACTATGTTCATATATGATCGTGGTTTAGTGCAGATTGTCAGTGAACAACGTCTCTGTGTAGTAAATGCTGCTCAATGTGAAAGCACGCACGTGATGGAGATTTACCGCTGATTACAGAACCGGCTTTACTAACAAGATGCACATTAAATATCGCATGAATCGCGGTAATCAAATAAATTTTTAATGATAATTAAAATATGAAATGGTAATACTAACCGTGGGGAATTTTATCATGACTTATAGTCAAACCGGTAACCGTTTCATCCCTATCTGCAACCTAAAGAATGCCTTCTTCGCAGACACTATATTGAGATCGAAAGGCATCAAAGCATGTCTGAATCCAATGTATTCATTGTTTCCAGTCAACTAAGATGCCTGGTCATTTTTTAAGCCAGCATAGATTGATAATATCCCAAAATCATGTGTGGGTGGGAAGGCATGTGTAAGTGCAACTGTGTGCCCTTAAGCAAAGATGGCAGCAAGCATGACGCATCCTTCCACATGTGCCTTTAAGATGAATAGAGATGCTAACAGACAGCTCTTTCCAGGTATTACAGACCTCTTTGGCCTGAACCCAGTTTCCTTTGGAGGTTCCTTCACATAAAACTGCTGTCTGTTAAATCAATGACTAACTGTGTAGCATGGCAGCTGATTTCAAACACAGTCTGTCTGTAGTCATTGTCTCCACATCAGTGCAGCTGTTAGTAATTGGTAGTAATAAAGACACACTAATTGGTCTATGAGGCAGAGTGTGCAAAGGGCAACTACAGAGTGATCAGTTTCTTCATTACCCAGGACACACACAAATAAAATGTACAAAAATTCAAATCTAAGTAAAGCTTTTTAAGTCTACCATTTGCCAAAAGTAAAACTTACAGTCCGAGAGTAGTGATCCAAAGTCCGCTTCATTTCCGCAACATTCAAAAAATAAAGTTATTTGCGTGAAAGCATATTGCTGATTATTGCCATATAATTCATTTAAGTTAATGGTGTTTGTGGTCACAGTTTCATTCGCGGATCACGACTGACTGACTAATATTGACTAGCCTACAACTTGGATAAGATTCCTAAATGTTTCGCACCTACAGCACACATTACAGACGTTGATGCACAAACGTGGATATGTTCTACATGTCTACAGTATAAAGAATGAATAAACCAGTCTTATAAACTCCTTGATTTCGCTTAAGCAACTTCAAATATAATATGCATGCACAATAAACTATTGTAAAATGTATTTACATTACTCGACAGAAAGGTTTTTGCAGGTTTTAATAAAATGTAAATTAATAACAGTCATAATAAACAAGCATATTTCCAGTACGCGCCAGTTCGTCAACTCACTCATCAGAATCTTCGGTAATCCTTGGCAAACTTCACCACGGCTCATTCGGTTCTTGTTGAGCCCTCGGTAATTCTCGGCAAACTTCGACAGTTGGTTGAACCGGCTCATTCGGGTCTTTTTTGAGTTGGACGTGCTACTTCGGCTGTGCGTCCTGCGTCATCAACCCAGAACTAAAGTTCGATTCAGTTCGATTTGTGAACCGGCTCAAAAGAACGATTCGTTCAAGAACCAAACATCACTATCCGAGAGCATTTAGTTATTACAAAATGTCTCCTACTGTTTCTTTATCTCTTTATTACTTTTTCCCTCCACCTGTATCTGGCTGCAACCATCAAATTACAAATTACTATGGGAATTTTAGGCCCTTGATTTGTTCACTTATCATCCCAGTACGCGCCTCAGGCTTGCACAGTATCGTCAACTCACTCATCAGAATCTTCGGTAATCCTTGGCAAACTTCACCACGGCTCATTCGGTTCTTGTTGAGCCCTCGGTAATTCTCGGCAAACTTCGACAGTTGGTTGAACCGGCTCATTCGGGTCTTTTTTGAGTTGGACGTGCTACTTCGGCTGTGCGTCCTGCGTCATCAACCCAGAACTAAAGTTCGATTCAGTTCGATTTGTGAACCGGCTCAAAAGAACGATTCGTTCAAGAACCAAACATCACTATCCGAGAGCATTTAGTTATTGCAAAATGTCTCCTACTGTTTCTTTATCTCTTTATTACTTTTTCCCTCCACCTGTATCTGGCTGCAACCATCAAATTACAAATTACTATGGGAATTTTAGGCCCTTGATTTGTTCACTTATCATCCACAAAGCACATGGTATGTAAAGTTAACTTTGTGTAAATGTATTTTATTTTTTTGTGCTTTGCAGTGAATTGCCATTTAAATGCATTTATTTTTATATTTTATCACATGAAAGTCGTATGAATGTTTTTATCTTGTGCTCTAAAACCCCTGTGCTCTAAAACCCCTGCAGTCTGTTTATAAGCCGTTCTGGGAGTGAAATGCAGCTCCAATAGAGGCATGTCATGTCCTCATGCTGGTTCGGTGGTTTGATATGTGTGACGCATGCTGAAATAATTAAAGTGACAGAAACAACATGTCTTCATGAATAATTCATGTAACACATGTTTTCATGACACTATTTTTCCCAAAAGTATGTCTAAAATAGCAGTGCAGTACTTTTGACTTGTGTCATTTTTCCAATTTATAGTGTTTAGTGATGGAAGTGTATAATAAAATTCTGAAATATAATAATGTTTTTTTTTCAGATGAAGTCAACAGAGGTGGATCAAGGCCTTTTCACAGACAGTTACTGCAAAGTGTGCAGCGCTCAGCTCATCTCAGAGTCACAGAGAGTGGCGCATTATGAGGTGAGACCTGCTTTCTGTCTACATCCTGTCTGCTTGTACGTACAAATCTCTCTCTGCCCTTTTGTTTCCTTGATGTTAGTCATTTTAGATGTTGTTATCCAATGTGTAGTTATCATAGGGACAATACCCCTAGAGCAATCAGAGTTTAAGTGTCTTCAAGGACACAGTGACAATATAGTAACAACTAGTAAATATAGCAATAAATATAGCTAGTACTAGCCTGCTTTCTGGACATCTTCCACAATTACTCATAGGAGGTTCTGTGTGCACGTCCTCTGATCTGTGTGGTGAGGAATAGCAGCCTAGCTGTATTACAGAGTTTTTCCCCTGTGGTCACTGAACGGAGAGTTATATGGCCACTCTTCAACAGAGCTGTAACCTGAATGGGCCTAGATGGGAACATAATGTATTTGCCTAGGCAGGCATGGAGTACAACAAGAAGATAGTGTGCTGGTCAGTGTAAAATATTAATTCTGGGTTTGTTTTGTTTGTCCGTGCCGAGTGTGTTATTGGCTGTCCCATGACAACTGAGCCATTTTCCGAGCACCTTTGAGCCATCTAATGATTTTGTTTACAAATGTCACGTGTGTGTGAATTTGATTGCATTGAATCTTATTTAATATAACTTCTGACTGTCATATCAAGCTAAGCTCTGGCACAAAAAAAAATCAACTTTTCAGTTAGTGATATACCTGTCACAGTCTTCAGCGGGTGTGTTGTGACAATACCAAAATTTTGGCAACTGAAAATATTTAGCCGAAACAGAAAAAAAAAAGTTTTTGCTTGGGCTGAAGTATTTTTGGAGGGTCAGTTATTGACAGAAACACTTGCTGCTTTTTCCAATTATGTGTTTTGATTGTCTGCAAAAACATGGATAAGCTACATCATGTAAACATGTCAGCAGTGTGGATGTACTTCATCATGAACAAAAATGAGGCAAGAGTAGCAGTATGTATATTTTGTTTGGCTAAAATATCAAGAGCTGGCTTGTTGCCAAAAAAACATTTTTACTATGACTGGTTAATCACCTGTGAACAACACCCAGAACAGTTCAATGACCCAAAATGTCATGACCAAAACTTTATTTTTGGTTTCAGTTTCTGGCTAAATTAATATTTTAATTTTATTTTCCATGTAATTTCCATTTAATAAATAAAATAATTTTGACGCATCACTACTTTAGTCTTTTCAGTGGAAAAAGGCTATCTGTGGTGCATCTGAGGCTGCTGGGTAAATTACTAAAAGCTGCTTAAAAGCTAAAATCTTTTTGCTGATTTTTGCAAACCACTACAGGCATTAAATGAAAAATGCTGTCATGCTCCTAATGTGGAAAGACTTGCAGTGGGCACAGAAATTTTTTGTGGAGACCCAGATATGTGGAGAAGAGTTTTTGTCTCTCTTGCTCTGTTTCACCTCAGAAAAGCTCCAAAGTGTATCAGATGGAAGCTCAAATATCCAGACTCTGTCTTATTAATTAAGCGTTTTATGACAGTATTTATAAAAGGCTTTGAAAAGTTCTAGGCAATATACAAAAGAAGTGGAGAATAACTGTTTATTTGCATCTTAGTAAATATCACATGTAATGCTCGTGGCAGCTAAAGGGAAAGTATGCTTGAAAAAAAAAAAACGATTGTATCATGATTTTCATAAAGTATGGCGTAACAGCATGCTTATGAAATTCAATATAAAAAATTAACATAAAGGGTCTCAAGTACACTCTGATTGTAATCAATAAACTGAAACATAATACAAGTGGTGACAAAAACTTTCATTTTATTTAGGGAATGTATTTGGAATCCCTATATAGTCTACTCAATCCTTTCTGTCATTTCAAAATAAACTTACAATGTGTTTTCTTGAACTAATTAGGGTATTTGTCACAATTTTAGCATTTGATTTAATTTAGAAACAAAATAGTGTGTGTTTGCATTGAAATTGTCCTGAAGCTCATTTTATTGGGAAGGGATCTGGACTGTAGAGGCTGTAGAGTAGAAACATCTACAGGGGCTTTTGCGCTCAGGTCATGGTTTTAGAAATTATGCTGAGGGCACAATTTTTCCTCCGCGATGAGCTCTTAATCCTCACTCCTGAAACATCAAAGACTGAAAGACAGAGAGCCAAAGACAGAGAGAGTGAGACAGATTGGAAGAGGGAGAGAAAATCCAGACATTTGAACTGAACTGTTTAACAGCAGCTATATTAAAGGGGTCATATGATGCGATTTCAAGTTTTCCTTTCTCTGAGAGAGGAGGGGCATAGAGGACCTACAATAATGTACAGTATTTGAAAAATAATGTGTTTTTTGAACATTAAAGCATGTCAACATATTCTGTTACACCAAATACACAAAATAATGATCTTTAAAAAAGCATCATATGACCCCTTTAAAAGGAACATTAATAATGCAGAAAGACAATCGTGGACCGGAATAGCACTTCCAGCAATCGGTTTCATTTTATAGTCCTCAAGACAGTGACCCAGGGTCTCTATTTATGCTCTCAAGGTTATTCCATACCTTTTCATGTGTATTACCAAAGACTGTGAGAATATCATATATACACAGGTGTGATAAATGTTATTGTTAAGCTCCAGGCAAACATCTTCTTAACGTTATATCCAAGCATATTGCTGTGCTGTTATGATTGCTAACACCATGCTTAAAGCCAAGGTGACTTTTTTTCTGTATTTCTGTTACTGACATCAGGTATGCATTACCTAAAGCAAACAGAAGTTATCTGGTGTCTTTTAAGCAGTAAGCGAGGTCTGTGGCCTGTGTCTCCTATTGAGTGTAATCTCTCTGGTGCCCCTGTGCTATTTGATTTCTTTTTGTTGTCTTGCTCTCTTTCTGTCTGTTTGTGTGCCCTTGGCTTATGCTTTCCTTCATGCAATTCCAAACAGAATTCTCTAATCTTACATATGTATGAGCCACATAGCGGAGAGCGGGAAGACTGCAGGCTTTTATTTACGTTTGGTCATGGTGATATTATCAGCGTTCAAGGACAAACTGTCCCTCTCATTGTCCTGGACCCTCCTCTACAAGATTGGAATGGTCCATGTGAGTTTGATTCTAATGAGACTCCTGATTCACACTAAGGACTAAAGGACAAAAATCTCAGGTGAACTTTTCTTGTTTCATTAATTAATGTGCATAATTCTACTTGTACAGGGATCAGTCACAACAATGTATTGCTTGGAATCTGATTGATTCTTTCCCTCAACCTGACACAAAACTAGACCTATGCAAATTGTCATGACAATGTCAGTGTTTAACCTAATTTCTTTTAAACTCATTTTACCATGTTTAATACATTCTACAGAATTAGTGTCAATTTTCCAGTAAAAGTAGGACAGAAAATGGGGGAAAATTATAAGCGTGAATCATTGACTGTAATTTTTTGTATGTTTAAGAATGTTTTTCTGTGATCGTTTAAATCAAATTTTTGAATGTGTGTGTGTATATACCATTCAAAAATTAGTACTATTTTATTGAAATAAAGACTTTTTATTCAGTTAAAATGCATTATATGGATCAAAAGTGGCACATTTATAATGTTACAAAAGATTTTTATTTATTATATAAATGCTGTTTTTTTGAACTTTTGATTCAGAATTCTGGGGGAAAAAATGGCACGAGCAAGAAAAATGTATCACTGGAGTCAGCTGTCTTAACCGCGGCTTGTGTACTGCATCATTACTGTGTCTGTTCCCCTTTCGGGCTTGAACTGATGGTAAAACTAATGACATTATTTACTGTCTTTACATTTATTTTGAAAGATGAAGCTCGCGATTATGGTAAGGGGCGTTACATTTCCGAGTGCTTGTGATGTTCGGCCAATCACAATGCACTGGGTCAGCTGGCCAATCAGAGCAGACTGCGCTTGTCAAAGGAGGGGGCTTTGTAGAAAATGAAGCGTTTGAGAGAGGAGGGGCATAGAGGACCTACAATAATGTACAGTATTTGAAAAATAATGTGTTTTTTGAACATTAAAGCATGTCAACATATTCTGTTACACCAAATACACAAAATAATGATCTTTAAAAAAGCATCATATGACCCCTTTAAAAGGAACATTAATAATGCAGAAAGACAATCGTGGACCGGAATAGCACTTCCAGCAATCGGTTTCATTTTATAGTCCTCAAGACAGTGACCCAGGGTCTCTATTTATGCTCTCAAGGTTATTCCATACCTTTTCATGTGTATTACCAAAGACTGTGAGAATATCATATATACACAGGTGTGATAAATGTTATTGTTAAGCTCCAGGCAAACATCTTCTTAACGTTATATCCAAGCATATTGCTGTGCTGTTATGATTGCTAACACCATGCTTAAAGCCAAGGTGACTTTTTTTCTGTATTTCTGTTACTGACATCAGGTATGCATTACCTAAAGCAAACAGAAGTTATCAGGTGTCTTTTAAGCAGTAAGCGAGGTCTGTGGCCTGTGTCTCCTATTGAGTGTAATCTCTCTGGTGCCCCTGTGCTATTTGATTTATTTTTGTTGTCTTGCTCTCTTTCTGTCTGTTTGTGTGCCCTTGGCTTATGCGTTTCCTTCATGCAATTCCAAACAGAATTCTCTAATCTTACATATGTATGAGCCACATAGCGGAGAGCGGGAAGACTGCAGGCTTTTATTTACGTTTGGTCATGGTGATATTATCAGCGTTCAAGGACAAACTGTCCCTCTCATTGTCCTGGACCCTCCTCTACAAGATTGGAATGGTCCATGTGAGTTTGATTCTAATGAGACTCCTGATTCACACTAAGGACTAAAGGACAAAAATCTCAGGTGAACTTTTCTTGTTTCATTAATTAATGTGCATAATTCTACTTGTACAGGGATCAGTCACAACAATGTATTGCTTGGAATCTGATTGATTCTTTCCCTCAACCTGACACAAAACTAGACCTATGCAAATTGTCATGACAATGTCAGTGTTTAACCTAATTTCTTTTAAACTCATTTTACCATGTTTAATACATTCTACAGAATTAGT